GAGCTGAGAAAATACAGCCTCCAGCGTATAATGGAGCTGGCTTTCTAGTTACGAGGCGTGATTAAAAGTGTGGGGAATACACCTGACTTACATCGTTCTAAAAAGTGAAGGAATCAGTGTCTTGAATGTCCTGTAGAGGCTGCATGACACACGTGGGGGAGAAGCCCACGGGCTTGGTGGTCCACAGCTGTGTGCAGGCTGCTCTGACCAGGTGGCTCTCAGATACTCCACGGGAGCTGACCTTGGCAGGAGAAAGCGGCTCTATTTCCAGTTACGAGCCCCGGTGAGCTGTAATTCAGTAAATGGGGCTTGTGTAAAGGCTTCTGTTGCCCGTTGATTCCTCCTTACTGCTGGGTGTTCATTCAGGATGGATTGTACACTAGCAAGAACTGGTACATCTCACAAGAGAACGGTCTACACCTTACAAAATCGGATTCCTGTACTTTGTGGTGATAAAGGAGATGGGGCTAGCGTTGAGGCCACCTGGAGATGCCCCCAAGTTACGATTATGACACTGATTTTACTGTTGAATTGGACCATAGACATTTATAATGAAAGGAAATCATTTAAACTTATTTATTGTTTATTAAACGTTTGGACCACTTTAAAAGGTTTTTGAAATGGAGCCTTTTTACATAGCAACCAGTACCTGTACCGGACCTCTTCAAGTCCTCAGCCCTGCGCTCACCATTTGTTCCGTAGCTGTTATCAATGTTTATTTACAATTTAATATTCTACTTTTAGCATTGTTTAATACCAAAATAATTATATGTACTGTTGTTATGTAGGGCTTTATAGTTTACAGAACACTTGGTGTACGTTATCTCTGTTAATTTTTTGACTCTGACCTTCCGTGGAACTGATGGGCAGCAGTTTTAAGGTTCTGTTTCTAGACTGACTTCTGCTCAGGTGTGAGAAACCATAGCAATCAACATGAACTACCTTTAGCCTTATCACTGCTTCCTTCTCAGGCAGGTTAAGGTCTGCTAAAGGAACAGTTGCCAGATGGCCAGGTGCGCCAGTTCATGGCCTAGAAGGGGCAGCTGTCGGTTGAACTTTGCCCGTGTTCTCTGGATTTTATCTGATCTCTGGGTGCACTCCTGTGGGTGGGAGCGTTAGGATCAAAGACCTGTTCAGAGGCTTTGTGCCTTTAACCGCAGACTCTTTCTGCCATCTTGGAACGGATGGGGGCGGGATTGCGGAGTGGTAGGTTTGGGTTCATGCCTAATAAATGGACTCACCCAGCATCGAAGCTGGTTGCTCCGTGGCAACCTTTACTATGAATGAAAAGGAGGTTGACGGGAATAGCTCGTTTCCCATTCTTCTTTGGTGAGATTGCTTGCAGTTTGAGGATTCTCTCCTTAACCTTGAGGCAATCTCAATAGGACTGACTCATACCACGGGTAAGCTAGTGGTCTCTGACCTCTGGTTCCTACAGTCTTGACCTTGGTTAGATACCATCTTGACCTCTGGAAAGAACTGTGCCCTGGGCTACTGTTTTATTTATTCTCCTCTCCACGAAATAACTGGTGTCTTTCAAGATTTTTCTTGTACCTTACATGCCTGAAGTTGAAGGTCATCTCTTTTGTAGTGAAAAAATAACCATCTTCCCTGTGGTGTGCCGGATGTGAGGGTCCAGGCTGGAAGACTAGCTGTCCTAGGTTCTATCCCTAGGTGTTTGTTTGTTTTACTGATTCACAAAGGCATTTAATGTCTCTCTCCCACCTTTTCTAGATCTGCAAAATAAAGAGGGGATTTCATGAACATATTATGTGCTATGGGGCGGGGGGGATTTTTCCGTGCTAGTGGAAATGAGTATTGATGCAAGCACGGGACTTGCTGCCAGCTTCAAGGGGTGCATTTTACTCTCTCTGGAAAGAGACCAGCAGTAACGACAGAAACAGTACATTTGACTTTGACCTTACTTGACAACCCTTCCCTTACCATCCTGAAAAACATACTCCACCATTTAAGGGCTCAGCAGCAGGCTTTTGGCAAAGCCCGTGGCTTACGCATGCCTTTGTAGGCCTTTGGGATTGTGGTGAGAAAACCCTACCCCTCTCTTGCTTCCTGATACCTTGGCATTTGGGAGGTGTCTGGAAGGAAAAGTGGCAGAAAAGCAGCATAACCTGCTTGATGAGTCTTATATAAACAGAGGAAGTCCAATAAGGCTCCTGGTCTGGAATTGCTAAACTCAAAGAGGCCAATGTACTGTGTACAAAAGTACAAGTCACTAAAGGCTCCCAGGAGGCCCACGTGCACGAAGGACCCAGGGTTCTAGGGACTGAAGGTCCATCGCAGCACAGGGGGAGAGCTGAGTTCAATGACCGTGGACTCTTTGGTGAGGTGGCATTATGACCGGGACGGGCCGTGTTGCTGGGTGGATGTCTGACGGTGTTCGGGCTCTGCTTCCCATGACCCTTCACGTCAAGTCCTCTAGACTTCACCCTACGGGTGCAGGTGCCGGTGTCGGCAGTTCTCTCTACTCAAGAACGTGGCGGGATTTGTGTGCTTGGTTCCATTTCCCCCTTTTGCTTTGGAGGGTATGGCAGTCAGTGCATTAGAGTGGAAGTGGACGGAGAGAAAGCCTCGCCCAAGGGTCCTCTGTGGCCTACCATTTGGCCTTCCCTAGAAAATTACATTCAAATCGCGCTTCTAGGAGTTGAGAAGAGGTGGAAGAGTTCCTTTCTCAAATGTGAGTAGAGGGCAGCTTTAAGCTGTCCTTGTGAGTAGGGGAGACCATTGACATGCTCCCTGGTGTAACCCCTTCCTTGACTTAACACCCTTTCATTCCAGGCTGAGTGCCTCTTGTGTATTTGGTGACCCAGAAAAGGAGAAAGTGAGGCTGCCTCTGGGGCACTGCAGCTCTCTGTGATCGGGAAGGACTGCCCTGGAGAAATGATTCAAATGTGAGGTTTTATGTTAGGGTGGCTTGCTTTCTCCATTGCAATAAGAATCAGGATTAAGTCCAAAACCCAGCTTTTGATCTTCGGGTGACTGTGAAAACTAAAATGAAAATGTATTCTCCTTACTCGGCGTTGTATTCTCAGCACCTGTCAGAGTGTTTAACAACAACAGAAACTTTTTTATTGAAAATACAACTAGATGGCTGAATGCATGGGTGCTACTTAAGTGTAAGTATTTGTCTTTTCTAATCAGATGGTTTTCGACTTGCCCAAAATTATATGTACAAAGAATTTAGGACGCTTATGGAGAAAAAATGAGGGCTGTTCGTTTCTCCATAATATTTCTATCTGACAGCAAGAGCTGGCTAAACTTTAGAAGTCTTTGGAGGTTTTGAAATTCCCCACTGTTATTCTTATGAGAAGAAAGAACGGTCTTGTTTTTCTTTTTCTATCTTCTTGGCCAATAAGGAAAAGCAAATTTCAGAAAAACATGGGACGGAACAGGAAGTGTTTAGAGATTTAGTCATACTTGTTAGGTATGAAAAAGCCCCACTGCATTCTCATATTGTTTCTTTTATGGACTTAACACTTCCTACTTTGAGAATACCTTCCTCCCCCAGGGCTCAAGGCTCTTTACAGTCATTAATCTTCATCTTGCCTCTTTTTGTAAAAACTTGAAATGTTAACTACCGCTTAGCTGGTGTCATACCAGCTGAAACGTCCAGCTAAATGCATTTTATCTACATGGGTCCATTAGCTCGGTTGAGAATGTGGCCCTACTTAAGGCAATAGGGAGACCAATTTGTCCTGGTTTCTCTGGGACTTTCCTGGTTTTAGCCTTGAAATCCCACATCCCAGGAATCACCTCCACCTCAGGTCAACCAGGATGGTGCATCGTCCAAGAAAGCAACCATGAGGGTCACCCTGCGTAAAGAGACATCCTTCGGCCTTGCAGTCCTAACCTTCAGCCTGGCCTGGTGCCTTAGAAATGACCTAGAAGGTACTGTGTGAGCAGTGCAGTGCACACCTTTAATGCCACTTGGTAGAATATTCAAAGCACACGGCCATGGAATCAGGGAAAGTCGCCATAAGTAGGGATATCTTTGTGCCTACAAGTTAAGAATTCTGGTTTCTTGGTTGTGGTTTGTTCTTTGTTTTGTTTTTTCCTCCTGTCTACCCTTTTTCTCTTTATAACAGAATATGGTGAAAAACGAAAATGAGAACTGATCACTACCTGATTTCTGAAACAAGAAGTGTGATTGCAGATACTTCTGTTGGTCTCAGATTTTCCATCTGAAAAATGAGGATGCTGGTCTCGATTTCTAGGGTCCCTTTCTGCTCAAACTTGCTGTCAGGAAAGAAGCAGGAAGTAGGAAGCCAGAGAGGCCAGAAAGAAAATGGACTCCATGTCCTTCACTAAGCTCTACTCACAAGCAGGACAGTCTCCTTTCAGTATAAATCTCTCCACCCCTTCTTTTTCTTCATCTGTCGTTTGAATGTGCCGCTTTTTCAGGAGTGGGCCGCTGCCCTGGTTCTCTGGCTGTACCTGACGCACAGACATCCCTTCCCCTTCCTGCCTCTGGGCAATCTAAAGCAACTCTTGTTCTCCCAACACCCTGACACTGGGCCTAAATACATTATCCCAGATGTCAGAATATGCTCTTTTCTGTTTAAATTGCTCGACTCCAGGTTTGCAATCGCCTTGTGAACCACTAGAACTTTCAAAAACTTTCTATTTTTTTTACCATCTTATCTTCCCTGAGTCCATGGTACCACTTTTAATTTTGCCAAAGATCCTTACTCCTCATTTTGGGGGAGAAAATGTAGAATCATGGCTTTGGAATTTGACCTACCTTGATTCAGATTCTAGCCCCACTTTGTTGTGTGTCATTGGACAAACCAGGTTCTTTTAGCTCACTGAGACTTGGTGTCTTCATTTATGAAACAGAAAGGTATCATATCTTATATATCTGGCACGTAGAAGGTTCTGAATATATTTGATGGACCACTTCATTTTCCCTTAGCCCTTCCTCCTGCACCATGCTCCCTGACACCTCACCCTGTTTCCATTCTTTCCCTTCTGTTTAATTTCAGAGGTTACAGAAAAGGTGTGTGTTACAGGTAGAGTGAGTGCACGCTGATTGAGTAAGTACCTCAGGCCCTCCTCCTGACGACTCGTACTGGGCTACACCGCCCCTGAATGTTTGTGCAACCAACTGGGAAAGAGGCGTCATTAGCAAGAACCAGTTACCTCCATGCAAGGAACGAAATGTGCTCATTATTAGAGCAGCCCAGGCGCCTCCCACACCACCCGCCCTGTGCTCCGGGATACTGAAGAGTTGATCCGCAAATCCAGGTGCAGTTGATGCTGAGAGGAGGCCACCTGCCCCCCGATCCTCATGGCAGACGGCTGGGAAACCTCTGCTCAGCAGACCGCTCGACTTGATGCTCCAGCTGTAGCCGCTCCCGTGCTCCTCCAAAGAAGCAAAGGCACGTTTTCTCTTTGGGCAGAGCGTGGGTAACAGTGTCACGGAAAGTACATTGAGTTCTCTCTCCTCGAGTATCTACCCAATCCCGAGACAGGGATTGTCTGATCGTCCTAGGACGCGCAGACCTAGCAGTGGCCACTTCCGCTTGTTGCAGCGTCTTTATTGGAACGGAGTCTTTTGATTTCCTTTTTCCCTATTTTTTCCTGCTTGAAAACAGATGGTTTGCAAAGGCACTTGATAGTGACTTAAGCTCTCTCATGGGCAGTAGGTTTACATGACCATTTGTGTCCTTCGTCACACAGTCCTCTGTGTAATTATGTGATATCTTGAGCCTACCACAGATGGAGCCCCTAAGCCACCTCAAAAGTGACCGTCTTTGTATGTGTGCGTATCTGTATGTCCTAAAGATTTACCACCACGCTGGCACGTGTTCTTGTCATTGATGCTTGTTAAGCTTTTTATGTGCTAGGCCCTGTGCTGAGTTCTAATGTGTTTTCTCCTTTACAACCTTTTGAGATAGATAGAACCAGTGTTATCATTATCCCATTTTATAGATGAAGAAACTGAGGTTTGGGGAGCTTAAGTCACTTGTCCAGAGTCATGCAGTAAATACAGGAGCCAAGATTCAAAACAAGCCTGAGTATCTCCAAGCTATAGCTCTTCACCACCACTGTGTAGGCTCAAAAATATTTTTAGAACTGAATGGAGAAATCTAAGGGAAGGGAAAGCACGGTCCCTAGATTTTAATGTCTTTTGTGATAACCATACGACATCTTTCATCTCTTTCAAATGTCGTTGAAATGAAACTTGAAAGACTCCATTTTTCATCTTCTACTTAGTAAGAATGAGCAGATGTCTTGGTCATTTGTGATGTGTGTCCCAGAGTTGGCCCCTTGTAGTGACACTGGTTTCTGCTTCCAAGCCCCCTCCTTCCCTCCAGCTCCTTGTGTACCAATGTTTATCTGCCGCCTAGCCCACCTGCCCCTCCGGGGGTGTTCGTAGGCCCACCTGTGTTCACACGGCATCTTCTACTAAAAGAACCTTCACCCCAACATTGGCACAGATCGGGGGTCGTGGACCTCTGAGTGAATAAGCCTCAGGCTTCTTGATGCCCGTGTGAGCTAGGGCTATATATTTATTTATTTATTTGGTCGCACCAGGTCTTAGTTGTAGTAGGTGGGCTCTTTAATTGTGGCAGGTGGGCTCCTTTGTTGCAGCTCTCGGGATCCTTAGTTGTGGCTCCTGGGCTCCTTAGTTGCGGCTCTACAGCTCCTTAGTTGCGGCATGCAGGCTCTTAGTTGCGGCATGCATGTGGGATCTAGTTCCCTGACCAGGGATCAAACCCGGGCCCCCTGCACTGGGAGTGTGGAGTCTTATCCAGTATGCCACCAGGGAAGTCCCTGGAGTACTTCTTAGGGAGATCAGAGTTGGTTGGTCACCTAACGTGATTTCTAGAATAGTATGGATGGGGTAAGGCTAAAAATAGTATGGATGGGGTAAGACTAAAATCACCTAACATGATTTCTAGAATAGTATGGATGGGGTAAGGCTAAAATCACCTAACAAGATTTCCAGAATAGTATGGGTGGGGTAAGGCTAAAAAAGGGTAGACGCATACCAACACCCAGATATCCATGTAAATGTGTCTCCTTCAGAGTTTCAAAAGTAGTCACTTAAAAGACAAAACATTTCCTTGAATTGTACACCCCTTGCTTGGTGCCAAGGAAGAAGGGACCCAGGTTTTGCTGTCCAAAGGCTCCGGGTTCAAAGACTGGCTTGTAACTTATTACCATTATGTAAGTTATGCAGCGTTGCTGAATCCCAATTTTTTTAAAGTTTTTTTAAAATAGGGATTTAAATGTCATGCTTATCTGATTGCTGGGAAATTTCAGTGAAATGTGATACGTATCTGTTACATAAGGGTTGACGGTAAATAATACTTTCTTTTCCTCTCCCCTTAAATCATCTTTTCCCCTTTGGACATTAAGTTCCTTAAAGAAGACAGAGGGGTTTTTTTTCTTACTCATCTCCATATTCTCAGCATCTAGCAGTACCAGACATGTATTTGTTGAATCAAAGAAAAACCTTTCAGAAAGGTCTTCAGATCATTTGTTCATTCACTCACCAATCGTTAGTCATGTATGTGCAGTGTATCAGGCACCGTGCATGGAGGAATTCAGTTAACAGCACAGACACAGTCTGTGTCCCCGCTCTTTTCTAGTCTAGCTGGGAGAGAAACATTTCACAGATAATTAGAGCAATGAACAACTTCGGTCCTCGAGGTGGGAGTTAAATTTTGGACATAGCTGTAATCATTTGGCATCGAGTCCAATGAGTAAGTCTTCCAAGCTATACTTGAAACTGTTCTTGGTCAGATCTAAGAAATAGCAATAAACTGGTACCTGTAGTTGCTTCTGAACGTCCCAAAAGAGGTGTCTTTAAAGTATTTTTGAGGAATGATGGCAGCGTTGGGATGAGTATAAGCACATTTTTAAGTCTCTCTCTTGAGAGGCAGCAGAGTTGATGAGATGGGATCCTTGGAGGGAAGGTGTTCCAGGAACATGGACCGACCTGGAATAAGGCCTAAGGACAAGTCACATTAACTGGGTAGTGGGGCAGTGAGCGTGTCTCCTGGAGAGGAGAAGACAAGGAGAAGGGCAGTGCTGGCTGCTTGTAGCAAGATTTTTATGTAGACAGTTGGATGTGTCCAAAAGTCACTAGATGGCCCTAGGGGAAAACACGGGACAAGAGGTGAGTTTGTGTTGGCATCGGGAAATGCACTGAGTGAGATTGTCTAATAAGGCTTATTCATTCATTCAGTAAACATGTAATGAGGGCTGCTATGAGCCAACAGGCACTGCCCTGGGTGTGAGGGACATGGTGGTGAGCAGAACAGGCAAGGCCCCCTGCTCAGGCCGAGCTTTCTGCCAATGACAACCTTCCCGTCTTGGTGAGAGGGAGGGCCTGGGGCTCCAGTGTGGTTTGGGGGTCTGAGAAGCACGTGAAGGTGAGATGGACCCCCAGCCGTGGACATGGACACAGGAGAATGAAAGTCCAAGGAACTGTGAAGGAGGAGACCCAGATCCAAAGTCAAGGGCAAGGTCTGCTGAGGCCGTCAGGCAGACATGGGCTGGAGAGACTTGACCTGGCACAAGGTAGGATGGGAAGTCCCAAAGGGAGACCCACAGCTGAGTCTCTGGATGGGGAGGAAATGCTAAAAGCTCTGGGTCGGGACGGTAGAGTAAAAAACCTACAGTCAGCTATAAAAAGTTTTCTAAACACCCTTATTGAACTAGAAAGCGCGTATTGACGGTGGTTTGAACTGAGTGGGATTTTTGTTTAGGTCTTAGGATACTCGGGGCCATTCAGAGATTCCCAATTTACCAGTGTTTGTCCTGTAATCTGGATGTAACACACTCGAGGCCAGCCTCTAGAAATTTGACTGATGTAGTTTTCTAGTCTGAACTGAGGAAAATTGTACCCATTCTTCTCTTCCCAATGATCTAATGTCTAATGTTTGTACATAAAAGGGTATAATGTAGTGAGACAGTGCATCTTAATTTTTTTCTTTTTTTTTTTTTTTGCTCTGGATGAAAGGAACGGGCAAGTGAATCAGCACGAGTCTTTGGACCTCGGTCTGAAAGCTCTGGAAACCACGGCATAAGAATAATAACATCATGGTTGGCACGGCCTTTTTTTGGTTTTTTTTTTTTTTTTTTTTTGCAGTACGCGGGCTTCTCAGTGTTGTGGCCTCTCCCGTTGCGGAGCACAGGCTCCGGACGCGCAGGCTCAGTGGCCATGGCTCACGGGCCCAGCCGCTCTGCGGCGTGTGGGATCTTCCCAGACCGGGGCACGAACCCACGTCCCCTGCATCGGCAGGCGGACTCCCAACCACTGTGCCACCAGGGAAGCCCATGGCATGGCCTTTTTACCTATTTTAACTGAATCAGTTTACTCAGAACCTTATCAATCAGTGAGCACAATTGTCTCCATTTTGTAGCTGAGAAAACGAGGTTCAGGTCTGCACCTGAACCCCCCTTTTTGTAGTTTTTGTAGAGGGAAGAATCATTGCGGAGGATATGGGGGACTCTTTGTTCAGGCTTCTACTTATGTTGTTTTCTAGTCTTGCCAGTAGGGGAGAGCAGATAAGGACGGTTAGCATTGGTAAAAGGGTACGTACAAGTTTTGTTAAAACTGTAAGGTTAGTTTTAGTAAGAGGCTGAGTATTTGGGGGAAGGGGATGTGCCTTATCAAAGGTCCTTACGGAACATCCTTCCTTTCAAGAAGGTCCTTCAGGTGGAACGTCAGTCACAGCCTAGGGAGCCTGTGTCCTTTTTCAACATCTGTTGTACCTATTGTGTGGAGTCAGGTCAGGCAGGTGAGGGCGGGTCTGAACCAGACTTGCTCTCAAGGGCTGTTGAATCATGTCTTTTACTCCTTATGGAGCTTTCCTTCTGCTTTAATTCTGTTTTCGTCTAATTAGGTACACATTTCCTCTGATGAGGGCAAGCTATCTTTTGAGAAGTCTAAACCTCGATTTTATGGTTCAGAGTCCTAGATGGTAGAAATAATTAGTATTCAACCGCGTGCCCCAGAGCTTTAGGAGTTACAGCTGGCTTATATTTCTGGGCATCTCCTAAGGATTGTGGCCAAGTTCAGGGATGACCCAGATGAGGAAAGGTTGCAATGCACAGTGACTGTTCATGTTGGGGAGGAGAGCTGAAACTCTGCAGAGTGACGTCCTGCACGAACTCGTTTTTCAGCTCCCAGGGAAATTGGATGGGTAGTTAAAGGGAGAAAGAGAGAGAGAGAGACATAATGAGAGAGAAGAAGAAAGTAAAAGACTTGACCTCATGGAGCCTAAACTCCTGTGTATTTTTGCTGAGTGTTGAGAGCTCATTGTCTCTGAGTACAGGGGCAGGAAGGACCTCTAGCCCCTTCGTCCTTCTCTGTAAATGCCTGTCAGTCTGGATGAATCTAATGACTGACTGTTGCAGTTGG